GTGACGATATATGAGAACAGACAAGACAATATTAAGGTAAAAAATTATACTCCTCAATAGCTAATGTAGGAAATGCGGTCGAGAACTTCAATCATATTGTCTCAGAGAAAGGGCGCTACATCCAGATTAACAAAAACATATCAACTTCGCTTTTTACACGCAAACCCTACATGTTAGCGATAGGAAGTCTCTGGCTTCAAAATCTCGACAAAAGGCTATCAGATATAGACTCGGTGAACTAAACAATAATTCTCTGATCTGATCGTTGAAATCCTGTGACAAAACAAATTTACCTCCCAATGCCTGAAAAATTTAACCTGTGCATTAAGAAAACACCACGCATCTATTCAGTCGCAAAGAAATTCAGTTTGCGTTTCAAGTTCTCTCCCATGCGTTTGAATTTAAAGTTAATTCCATCTCGTCTTTAAAACGATTGTCTGGGCATAACGAACCAGACTGCGTGAGTCAATTATTTGATACTTATCGGGGTAAAACGCACGTTTGCTGACAAAATCGAGAATACAAAAGTAAACAAATATACCGTATGCATTTCAGCCTTTGATCTTTGACTACACAAAGAAGCGGGATCATTTAAAGACACCGCGTCGGGCCCTAACGCTCGCGAAAAATTGTACTTATGTAAGTTTCTTAACAAGCCATTCTGTTTGGCTATTTAGTTTTTTATTCAACTTTTCCAGCTTTGAAAAAAATTGCTGTCATTTCTCTTGTTTAAGTTGGAATAGGAAAATACTTTTTGAGAGAGACTGCCATTATTTTGTATCAAAGTAGGCTATCGAGGCAGAATAAAAAATACTGATTCTTTCTAAGACAAATCAAAAAAAGGATACTGAAAGTAAAGCCGTCTTTATACCCTCTTCAGTTGACGTCCGCTCTAAAAAAAAAATGTATTTTTTTTTTAAATGTTTTCGTTCTTTCTTGTTAGCTGACGCATTTCAGCCGATGAATCATAAGGCATAAACATATAAACGTTGCCCGTCGAATACAATTTCTCCAATTAGCGCAGTCTTTCAAGAGACTATCCGGATTTCCGTTTTGTAGATCCTTTTCTGCAGCTTCGATTCTTTTCAAAATACGATGAAGATGATGGATGGCCTATGCTGTTAGCAAACGTTCAAACGCGATGTTTTGTAGACTTTGCGTTTTCGAAAGTAAAATAAAGAAACAACCTCAACAAAAAGATATACAGCATAAAAACTGAAATAAACCTATACGCTCAAAGACGCTGACATTTTTCAGCCGTGCACCAAAGTTCCTCATTTATGACATAAATCCCGTAATTACTATGTGCGTATCTGCACCTTTTTCGGGAATATTTTCACCTTTTTCGTGGTGAAGTCGTTGGCTACATATTGAAACGAAACAAAATAAAACTATTAAAATGTATTTTGAAAACGCTCATTCTATTTCCCGGAAAAATCTTTAATAATATGGTTCTACATCTGCACAGGGAAAATGTTGTACTCTGACACGACCATAGCAAGCTTTAGTCTACAGATGGAAGATAAACTCAAGAAAATTTAAAAAATTGAGTCTTTAACTACAATTTCAACTCAAGTTACGAATACTTTTGAATTAAGAAAAACTTGTCTTCTTATAAGAACGGATAAAAACATAATAATTATTCCCGACTTTCGCATCATTTTGATTTGTGAGTGATTTTAACAAATGTTGATTTTCAGGAAAAAAAATAAATACACGTTTGTTCCTTGACATCCCGTTTATCAAAGGTTTTTGACCCCTGTAAAACTCCTCTTTAATAGCTGGCTCATTTTTTGGATTTTTCCTTTTAATTTTCTTGCATGTTAACCGTAAAATCACACAGGAAAGTTAAAGAAATGTGTTTACAAATAAAAACACTTTAAATATAGACTTGGCGTCTACGATATCTGCAAAACAAACCGGCGTGTGGCAGAAATATGAAGTATTACAGCTGATGTCGATTATCAATATCTTATTTTATCAGAAAGGAAACATTCGAAGCTTTTTAAACGTAAATAATGATTGTACCCCGCGGCTGTCAGGTAGTGAAAGCAAAATGTCACCATTGAAATTAAATGAACGAAAGATGTCTTGAACAGCTTTCTGTGATCACGCTTTTTCTCAGCCATTGTGCACGCATGGTAATAGTTTATGAAAAAGATGCATATCAAGCAAATGTAATATTAGTTTTTTTGTTAAATTATAATTTAATACTGAAGGATTAGAGATCCGAAGAAAACTTCTTCCTAGAATACTTTGGCATTCCGTAGAAATAGTGCTCATACATTCGTGATCAGTATGTAAGTTTGTTAAATGAAGCAACGGTTTTTTTTCCAAACTTTACAACTTTATTCAGCAATTATGAACAGATGAACACAATGTCCTATATTTGGCTTTCAACAGCAGGAAAGTAAACCCAATACTGTTAAAGCTGTAGAGTTTAATTTCATTTTGTTTTGATTCACATTCGAAGTTAGCGCAAATAAAGAGGAACTTTCATATGAATTTTAATATTCGGCACTTATGCTTCGCAAATGAGGCTATACATATTTGTTTTAAAATAACTTAATTCAAAGGCACTTTATATGAATACTTTAATAAAATTTAACCATTCGAATCTTAGAATTTGAAGGGAATATTCCCTTGACAAACAGGCTGACGAATGTCCCTATATGCATCACAAAAAACTCCTAAACTGCCTCGTTTCTCAAGACTGGAGTAGGGAATCGTGGCAATCTTGACATTGAAATTTTTACTTAGACACAAATGAATACAACTGACTCTTAAATGTTAAACTGCTTCCCTTTTCGGAACAGCTCGATTATCAGCATTTCCTTATCTACTTCCATGACTGTTGAATTTATCTACGGTTTATGTTAATTATAAGAAAATTACGCACAAGAACGTTGGCACGCCGCGAACTTAAGCTTAACATAATTATAACTGATAGCAAACGGTCTTCCCTGAATCAAATCGCTTAATCTTCATTGCATGATATGAGGGGCAGATTAGTTACGTTTGCTCTTCAATCAAAGCGAAAACAGCTTGAAAGCAAGATTTACAAATTGCTAAGCATGCACTTTCGTTCCTTTCAAATGACCCAGAAGCTAACACGGGTTCAGTGAAATTGGAGGTTTGCGTGAATCTCCCACAAGATAAACGCTAATCACTTTTTTTTATGATAATCATAGCTTGTGAATTTCCATGATGGCAAATGTAAGATTTACCCCTTGGCCATAACCTCTTCTGATCCCAACTTCCTTCAATGGTAGTTTACGCTAATCAGAATAAATCGTGTTCATATCTTGACTCACATTGTAAACACCTTTGCCAAAAAAGAATCTCACCAAGTACTCTTAAGTTGTCATGGGATTTATCTACATCACTAACACCAAAGGTAAATAAATTTTATATGGTCGTGTAAACGACGAGCAGTTCCTCCTTTTCGGCGAAGTCTGTTGCGCGAGTTACAAAAAATTTTTAAAAATCAGTTAAAAAAAAACATCTATGTTAGAGTGCCGCGTGGAACTCTGGGAGTGACTGGCTCCTTTTGACTCGCGCGACGAACTTGGTCGTCGTGTGGCATGAAAATCATATTTTGAAACATTTCTGTGCACAACAAAGCAAAGCGAACATGCTTTAACTTTTCAAAAATAGACAGTTTTAGGCATCAATCATAATAGCTAGAAACATCCAGCGGATACTGGTGTGCAGTGAAAACTGGATTCTGTGGACAAGACTAAAATATTCAATTTCCATGCCTACTACACACTCAGCGTGCGATTCCTAGAGAACATCGTTTCATACTGCGCAGAAAAAAAAAGGTCGTCCTCGGTGAACAAAGAAAGTAAATCAATACAAACTAGACTACAGACAATATCGTAAAGCGAGAGAAAAACAACAAGATTCAACAAAGGATCCTTGCCACCCTTTCTTCTTGGTTAGTCTTTAAAAAGTTTTTATCAATGAACAAAAATTGCAAAAGTGATGAATTTACAACATTAACTTGAATTCATTTCTACATTTGAAAGCTTTTATAATAAGTGAAGTAAGACATCAAAGGAATGTAGGTCAGATCGCCGTAATCAAATCACCAAACATGAAAAAATATAACAGAGCAGTGCTTCAGAATGGTAGCATATTTACGGCTTTTAACCATTTAAATTTTATATTTAAATTTTACATTTAAAAAGCCTAGGTTTGCGCGACTTTCAAGAAATAATTCGCAGCCATTAATTACAAAGCAATTTTCCAAGTTCGTGGATTTTTCTTCACCACTTCATAGAAGCAATGACGATTTAGAACGCTTTAGGAAAATCGAAGAATAGGCCAGTTGCCTACTCTGGCCATTGTTTCGTGCACTTAATGATTAAATATGAACATGACAACAGATCATTTATGGAGGTTGTTAAAAGCATCGTGTACATCCATGGTCGTTTAACCTAAATTGGCCTAGACAATAACATTTAGAACATGATAATTTCACATGCTAAGAATAGCACAGCACCCTAACGATGGAAATCTCTAAAAATAAGGTATAATAATATCTGTAGCGCTCTAACATAAATTGGATCTTTATTTTAAATGGATTTCCTTTGTTTCCGGAGAAGCTACTGAGTTACTTCACAAATTTCCATAATTTAATTAAGATGCGAAATCTTTCTTAGATTGAATTAATTTTTCGCCCAATTAGCTCCATCAACCGTAGACCTGACATTAGAAATCAACAGAAAACTGAAAACTCTTTCATTATTATCGCAGAATTTTGAATGAATTACAATTCTTAAAAGTGTTTTTTATTAGCCTTATCACTTGCAGACCACGATGAGAAATACTGTGTTCTGATTGGTGGAAATTGCGTCTATTGCGAGGTTATTACGCTGTAAATCACTTATTGTGATTCTTGGAAGCTTTCAGCATTTATAGACATCGTTCTGTTGTCACTCGCCAGTCAATCAGGTCAAATATATAGTATTCAATCCTCGCGAAGGAGGAAATAAGACATTTTGTTTTGTGGACGAACCTGATAATCAAGACCACAAGAAAATTTATTTTCAGCTGATAGAGGGGTTCAGCGCGCACCTACCTTCCAATGCTACCAACAGCCGCTTGTCAAAAAGTGTGATTCATTCTGTTAGTTTGAAAGGACAGCTGTTAGACCCACCGTCCAGACATTGTACCGGTAAGATTTCAGGGCACGTTTTTAAAAGATAATTTACAGGTATCTATCGCTTCAAAGAAGAGAATTCTATTCGAAAAATGCTCTAAAAACCCGTCAAGACTTTCTCATTTATGATTTCTCTGCGATTTTGACGGTTTTTGAAATCTCAGTTGTCCGCATAAATTTTGTTTCCAACAATAATTCATTCAGGTCCCTTTTATGTCATCGCAATGAAACTCATCAAAGCAACAAAATGAGCTGGCAGACTTATGTACATATACTCATGATGCCTATTACCATTAAAAAACAAACAAACAATAAAAGAAATGAAAATCTTTTCAAATTCCACTTCAAAATCGATACCGAAAAAACACGTCAAGTTTATTTTTTTTGGTTGTCATAGGGATTTGGAAAGTTTTTTTGATCATTGATTCTTCTTCAGTTGTTATTTTCACTTTTATTTTCAAAGTTTATGATTCCTTTTTTCTTCAACTGCAATCTATGTCTCACAAGACAGAAAATGTGACGAAAAAAAAAAGCTCATAAAGATTCAGCAATTTCACTTAATTACATTGAAGTAATGACATCGAAAAATCCACTTTTCATTTGAATAATATTAACGCTGAGGTGCAAAATTGATGAGGCTCAGGTCATCGTTTCTTGACAATTTTAAAAGACCAACACAGAAACAAGTAACAGCCAAGTTCCTTACTATACACCATAACTTCCGAGATCAAATGTGGAAAGAATTGTGCAAATGCCATTTTCTTTTTCGCGTGTAAAGCTTACATAACTAGCTCTTATCTCGCTGAAGAAGAGACTCGAATTTGGAGAATCTACGATCGGTTGGGGTAAAAGGATGATAAATTGTTATTTCTAAAGATTTGCTTTTCCTCTTTTTCAGCCCACGTTTGTCCTTTGCCAATCAAATGTTTGACCTATGGTCGTCCCATCCGGCAAAGCTTCCTGATTTTCGCAGCATGATCAATTCTTTTCAAATGTAGTTCTTCTAAACATTCGCCGCACGAAATCTTTCACATAATTACTATCATTGTGAAAATAGCGCTAATTTAAATATGTTGTACAGGGAGACTGTGTTAATCTGCATTATAATACAATGAATATTTGAAGTTCATATATTTTGAACTGCGTATGTGTATCGTGTATCGTGTATCGCAGAGGTCAGTGGTTCGAATCCCGTAGAGGCCTGATTTTTTTTCAGGTCTGATTTTCGCTATTGCATAAATAGCGCTTTCTACTGCGAAGGATCGTGCATCATACTGCATTATAATGCTATATGTTCCATGATTACAACCATTTGAGTCTTTTGCAAACTAACATATGTTATTTATTTATAGATTACAAACACTTCCCACTAAACTGAGACGTAAACGTCGTGTGTATTCTCGGCTGTTTCTCCTTCAATTTTTTAAACTAAATGTTATGAAAAAACCAGGAAATTCCTCGCCAATATCGAACTGTGAATACAATGAGCGAAGATATGAAAATAGTACATCTCACGTGTCATTGCACAGAGAGCTGAAAATGCGCACCATGATATGTCGAGCGCAATTTTCAAAATACGCTTTGAATCCAAAGCAAGAGGAAACTGATAAAGAAAAAAAGTGACCTGAATCTTGCTTTAAGAAATAGAAAAAAATGAGTGAAATTAATACCTCTGTTCTTCCGTAATTCCAGTGTGACTTCTGATTCCTGTCAGTCTTTTGAGGTCGTGTTATCGGCCTTGTTCTACAGACGACCGAGTCACGTGCTAATCGGAAATTGCGTTACAATCACTATTAATCTTTTACCCTAACATGGCGGGAAGTAATTCGAAGCGGGTTTTGCGAAACATGAAGGGTCTCTACTGTAAGTGAATCACTGCTATTGTTCATGATGTCATTGAAATGTTAACTGTGTCATGAACAGACCTTCACATCACTAAGCTGACCTTTAACACCAATCACTTCCGATATATTTTTCAATTTTTTTTTCTCCCTTTGGCGGAATAATCAGAGGATCATTATATATTACCCAAAAGTGTGCTTAAACGTTTCAGCCGCCAGTATTGTTGCGTTTTCGAATCAATGCCTCGAATTCTGGACGAAATACTTGTTATTGGCCCTCCAAAGCGGACGGAAAACTCTCGTTTTCTTTTTAGTTTGAAAATACCGTTTTCAACTTTGTTCATTGTGGTGTACCGGTGTGGCCGAAGGAGAGGATTTATCAGAACCCCCCCGCCCATAAGGTTTTCTTTTTGATTTCCCCCCTTCTAGGCGGTCAACTTTATATAGCCCCCCCCCCCCTTACACTCTACTAGGAACAACTGATCCTCCTTCCCCCCTAAATATCATCTAATCCTCCCAAAATCCTCCGCACCCAACCCTCTCCCATTTGACAAATAATAACTGGTCCTTAATAATTCCATGTACTGTGTTTCAATTTCAGTTTGAGATGACAAGCCCCACTCCAAAGCTGAATAACAATGGAACCGCCGTTGAGGAGAAATTCGATCAGAAAACCATTCTCATTTCCATCACATTTCTCATTATTATCATCTTATTGGCGCTGTTTGGAAATGTTCTGGTTGTCATTGCCTTTCGTGTGTTTCAGAAGCTTCGTAATATGACCAATTATTTCATCGTGTCACTTGCCGTGGCAGACATTTTGGTGGCAGGAATTTCGATGCCCGTCTGGGGCGCGTACATTATCACTGGACCAGAATGGAAGTTTAATAATTGGGTTCAACAGGTAAAATTGGACGATTTTTTTTTTCTTATTCTTTAATAGTAGCATGTAGCTACTACATTTTCGTAATGCTTGCCTCCTCAGTTTCCCAGCGAAATTGCTCCAGAGTTTTTGACAGCTTACAAGGATAGGGCGCAATAATTATTATAACACTTTCTCGACGAGTTATAACGAGAAAGCGGAAGGTTGTGGGAGAGTAAGAAATGTGGGAGTGAGCGATGGTCGAAAGGTAGAAGAGGGGAGGGGTGAGGGTAGAAATTGATTTTGGTTGTCACTTTTTCCAGCCCCCTATCCCCACCGTCCACTCTACTCAGTAAACCCTACGGTCAAACATGGCCGGTCGAATAAACAATTGCGAGCTCGTTACGTTAATTCGCCACAGTAAGAAGCCTGTACTGCAGAATAGTATGAGAGTAGTTTTGAGGACTGTCAACGGTAAAAGTGACGGACATTTCGACGACTTCAGTGGAGGTCATCATTGGAGTCGAGTCTTAACATTTAAAGTAATAGAAACGTCAGTCACTGCTCCTGTCAACAGTCCTTCCCAGGACTACTCTCTCCGGTCTATGGTTTCGATAGTTCACCCTTCAAACTTTCTCAACTAGGACTAAACCACGCTCTGTTACCGCTGAAAATCATGTAATTGCCCCTCCCCCCCCCAAACAAAATTTTCCCTCCTCCTCCCCTAAGTTTGTCTTTTTTTTCTCAACTTTGTTCACAGGTTTGGAGCTGTGTCGATATTCTTTGCGGTGTTGCATCAATTCTCCATCTTTGTTTCATAAGCCTAGAACGTTACGTATGCATTTCTTCACCACTCACTTACCACAACAGAATGACAACCCGTAAAGCTGTCATTGCCATTTTTGGCATATGGTTGTTCTCCATCTTCATGGCGGTGTTAAAACTCATCCTCTGGTCCGTTCCTCCACCGTTCTACGAAATCGCCGTCAGTGTGTCATGTTTCTTGATTCCTTTGGCTATTATGCTCCTATGTTACATGCAGATCTACAGAGTGGCGCATCATCAGATCAAGAAGATAATTCTGACAGTCCATGGAAGTCCAAAGAGATTTCTTCTCTCCAAAGAACTCAAAGCGGCTAAAACAGTTGGAGCAGTGATTGGCGCTTTCGTCATTTGTTGGGGTCCATTCTTTGTCTTAAACCTCGTGTATGCTTTGTGCAAAAGCTGCTTACCAATCCCTAAAGAGGCAGTCCTGGCAGCTAAGTGGTTGCATTATGTCAACAGCGTACTGAACCCCATCATATACGCTTGCATGAACAAGGACTTTCGTTCAGCGTTTAAGAGACTTCTTGCGTTTTCTTGTTTCTATATAGTCCCTGGTATTCGCAGACAGGAGATGGTTTTGGAGAGATCGATTTATAGCGAGCGGACCTCGCTTAGATCAGCCAAAGGAAATTCTGTGCGAGGAAAAAATTCTTTGAAAGAAAACAGCTCTCTGAGATCTCACATATCTCATATCGAGATGAATGGCTATCATTCTTGTGACAAACCATCTTACGTATAAATTTTGGCTATTCCTAGATGCAGTCGGGCCATAGAAATAAGGAAGGAGCTCTTCCCGCGCAATCTCCACACCGCGAAGGGAAAAAATGGAACGTGGTTCCGTGCATGGCGCGTGTGGGATTCGTGACGCGCGCGCGTGTGGGGTGCGTGACGGGCGTTAAGTGCGTGCTGTGATTGGCGGAAGTTTGAATTTAAGAAATCATCAATTAAGAGAACGGTCATTAATTAGAGTGGGGGGGGAAGGGAGGAGGATTTTGGAGGATCACATGGAGGATTGGAAGGAGATCAGCAATCGCCCCCCCGCACAGAGTATAAGGGGGGGATATAGAAAATTGAGCCATTTGGGGGGGGGGTGAG